ATATGTGTCAATCCTGCATGATTCGTTCGTTTGAGCTGGTACACTTAAAAGTATTGATGGTTCATTCATTTGTTTTGAATGAACCAGTACAACCAATCACAAACAATTGACGGTACCTTTTTAACCCGCGATTTGTTTGAATTGTGAATGAGCCGCAAACCGACCGAATCCCGAATGATCTGAATAAACAGGCGAATCGTATTAACAATGAAGACTGCACAGTATCAGGAGTATTCATTATTTAAGGGTTTTTGAATTATAAAATTATAATATTGTTACCTAAAAAAAAATTATTTTACATTTTATTATATTTATTTGTTAAATCTATGATTTAAAAATATCATTTCGTAGAGTTTACTAAAAATAACACTTCAAAAGATTTCATGATAAATGATTTATTTAATGATAATTTTCAACCACCATATATAAGTATAAGATAGGTACATGTTTAATTTTTGTAGCAAATAAATGTTAAAATTTTCGGTTCCCAATGGATCTCACACAGAGTACCTACTGGAGCCTGAAATAATCCATTTGAATGATCGATCCAAATGTACCAATACGCGTGACGAAATGTACTAGAATGATTTGGTCGCTAGAAATGAATGATTGACACATGTTTACAACTGATATAGTTATCATTGACTGTGACGAAACATGACGCCCGGCCGCAGCGAAAAAATTATTGCCATACTCGGTAATGATAAAACTACTGTTGTCCTTTTTTACATACGAATATACTCATAAGCTAAAAAGAGACGCCGATATTTCGTTACATTCCTACAACTAACGATTTTTATGTCATGTCCTTTCTTTCTTCTCTAGTCAAAGGTATATACCGCAGACAGAGAAACCTATAGACTGATGATCGGCGTGGCCTCGAGTGAGAAAGGACGATAACGAATTTTTAGGTTATACAATAATCTTTACGACTTTTAAATACATTTAGATAAAAAAAATTATTGTTCTAAGAACTGAAATGAACAAGTTTCACCAATCTTGAGCTCACAAAGCATTTTTTTTCACTTAAACCAACCTGTAAGCTCCTTAAATCGCTACGCTGTCAAAGTTGTTTAGCAAAGTGTGGAGTTTGTTAAACAAAAAAACCGGCACGGAAAAAAGGACAATCACACCGCTCTATCTCCTTTCTATGCAAGATGTCTGCATAAATCTATCTTTTTTGTGTGCGAATGCGAAAGAAGGCGTCAATTTGTCTATAGGTTTCTCTATCTACGGTATATACACTCTTATCTATGGTTACTTGTATCCTCTTAGTAGTCTGTGGTTATTTGTTGCTTCGTAGACAGAGAAACCTACTGTCTCCGATAGGAGCGTAGACAGAGAAACCAATAGCCTAATGATAAGCGTGGCCTTGAGTGAGATAGGACGATAACGTAGTTTTAGGTTATACAATAATCTTTATCACTTTTAAACATATTTGGATAAAATTTAAACGTATATTTATATAGTTCTGTAACGAAATTTAAAATTACTATTGAATTTTATGCGTAATACCAGATAAAATGTACTATACTTACTAGTGTAATGGTATACCGGTGAGTTTACGTTCACTATCACTTTTACATCCTAAGACACTACATCTAACCATTTTTAAGGTTTTTAATTGTTCTAAGAACTGAACTGAACAAGATTCACCAATCTTAAGCTCACAAAATACTTTTTTCTCACTTAAACCAACTTGTAAACTCTTTAGATCTTCACGAACTGTCAAAGTTTGTTTCGCAAAGTGTAGTTTGCTAAACAAAAAACACCGGCACCGAGAAAGGGACAAACAATCACAACGCTCTGTCTCATTTCTATGCATTACGTATACATAAATTTATCTTTTTCGTGTGCGAATGCGAAGGAAGTCGTCAATTTGTCTATATTTATCTGTGGTAATAGTGTTCTGTGCTGTCTACGATATATACAGTAATCTATGGTCACAGACTACTAAGAGGATACTCTATGGTCTACGTGTTGCTTGTTCTTGATTTCTTGTCTTGTCCTCTTAGTAGTCTGTGATTTCTTGATTGTGTTCTGGTCATGAAAACTTCGGATTATTAGTGAAAAAGAGAATATAATTACATTAAAGCTATAGGAATCAGGAATGGCCTTCAGTGAAATTTGTAGAATTTGTTTAAGCATTAATGTACGCATGTGTGTACTAAAGAAGACTGGCCTCCAAAATGTATATATAGCATTGACGAACAGTTTTGTAAGTTAAATGATACTTCTTAATATTGCAAATTGAAGTTGTTATCGCTGGAGAAATTACATTATACATTACATTACATTATAACTTGCCTGATGCATATCGATCGGGGCTAGGCTAAGGTGCAGCGCTAAATAAAGATACCAAAAACATACTAATACACGACTTAAGTCAATTTGAAGTGATGCCTCTAAGATGTGTATTGTTTGGGTACTGTAATAATAGTTTGTCAAAAATTTCTAGATCATAGTGTCCATGTATTATGTTACCATCAAGTCTCCTCATTTTCTGTGATCTTTCTGAGTAGTAAGTTCAAGTGCTTTCAGACTCACCTCATATGGTCTGCTTTCAATGCTCCCGTAACTTTTGAACATGTGTGTTGAACCTCTCCTGTTACTTAGTATAGTTTGTGAGGCATATTTCGAATTGGGTTGAATATATGTTATATATTTTAAGAATCATTTTTGGTATTATTATAATTTGCCATAGTTGTCAACCTAGGTTAGGCGGGTTGTCAACTGCAGTTTTTTTTAATTATCTCACCTGTTATGTGCAAAATGCTGCTGCCCATATCCTTATGTAATAAAATAATTTAATTGTTGGATGTTCAAACTTATCTGGAACTTACTTTATACTGCAGTTGATATTAAATCAAAACGGTTAAAACTGCTCAGGGCAGGGTATTGTTATTAACTCCATTTAAAATTAGTGATAGTGGCCCAATAGTTACAATGATTGCAAACTCAAGAAAGTAGTGAGTTCAAATCTGCCATTTGACTATTGTTTAAGTTACTGGGTAAGGTTTACAATTCGGTCGCCAGAATAGTAGGTGGGGAGAGTGGGAGGAGTTGTAGAGTCACCCCTACTTCCCCTTTCTGCCGGACGTGCTTAGTTTTTTTTTATAAATTTTTAAAAATTTCATTTTGAGGTTATGTTTCATAATTTTTATGACAATTTTAACCTGATTTATGGGGAGAGAGAGTTGCGGGACGGAAGCCCCACGCCACTTAACGTGGTGCAGTCGAGGGAAATCCGGTCGTCGGAGCCCCGCTTCGTGGGGCTCCTATTTCTGAGTGGTTTACAAAAAAATAACCACGAAGAGGATGACAGGGTCCCCGTCCCCCGTCATCCTCTTCTAACCTAACCTGTCTGACTCGCTTCGCTTGCTATTGCACTGGATATAACACCAAAATATTAACTTTTATAACTACTTTAATTTATAAACATAATTTATGGCTGTCACCATTTGTAAGAAAGAATCTTTACGATATTTAGCAGTATTCTGCCGCCACAAATATTTCACTATTCACCAAAATTCTGAAACTCGGAAGCAACGGCATGACAAAAAGCTGTCAACAAAATGGCCGGCTTAGCGATTTATTTTACATATTTTTAAATCGATTCAAATCAAAATTGGATGAATCGATTCACAAAAAATCAAAATCTTAAAGATCGATTTCGCAAAAATTGATCTTATTTTGATTTGCGTTAAAAGTTTATATCTACAATATCGAAAGATACAATAAAGTACAGATAACATTGAATGATTGAATTAAAAATTGTCATTCTTTACTAGTTGGGGTACATTCAACTAATTGTAAATAATTTTACAAATCTTAATAAAGCAGAAAAATATTCGATCTCAATTCTCTAGGGTGAAATGTCGATTCAGTACTATATATTGATATGACATTGGGTGCGTTTGGCAGAAAAAAGCACTAGCTAGCGCTTACAAGTGCTAAAATAGTTTTCGGCCAGGACACGATTGCTACTTGAGTAGCGCTGACACAATCCGCCATTTTGCTTATTTATTTTGTTTGTTTTGAAGTAGAAATTATAAGTTGTTTTGTGCAATATTAGTTTTAAGTAATATAATGACATGAATAGACATATACATGTTATTAAAAATTCATGATTGATAAATTTTTAATATGAATACTTTACAAACTTATATTTAAATTAGGTTAGGTTCCCCGGTTAAAACTAACATCGTGTCCTGGAGGAAAATAGCTACTTACGATTTGACAGCGCTTACCGCTTACGATCGCCATTTTGCTTACAAGCGCTTGCTAGCGCTTTTTTTCTGCCAAACGCACCCAATGACAGATGAAACGTCAAAAACGTAATTAATTAGTCATTTACCAATATTTTAAAAAAATTATTAAAAATATTTCGATGCTGCTCCTGCAGAAAAAATCGAGTGGGTGCTTCAGATAAATTCCCTTGACTCCCCCACAGTGACAGAATCTTTAAAGTCAGGCGACCGAATTGTAAACCCAACCCAAGGTACTTAAAGTAGTGTAAGCATGTTTATTAGTATTGAATTTTGAAAGCCCAAACTTGAAATACCTCTGTCAGGATCCCAAGAGTTTGGATCTACTGCTTTTAAAATGTTATCTGTTAATGTCATGCAGACTTCCTACTTCCTTGACACTCACAACATTTTAAATTAATGAGAGAATGGTGTCCATATGTTAACTGCGTGCAGAAAATTTGTCGATGATATCATGACGTCACTTATGGATAATTTGTAAAACACTTCAATGTTATAAAAAAATTATGTTGAAGAATATAGTTGTGGTGGCAAATATATTTTATTACAAAATTGTACATTTAAGTAGTTTTCCGTATTTATGACAAACTTTCATATTTTCAGATGGAAGAAGATGAGGAGCCCATAATTGTCTGTTTCATCTGTCATGCAAGACTCATTCGATGCAGAACATTGCAACAACAAGCTATTGAGTCAAATGCAGTTCTGGAGCAGTTGCTTACAGGAGGGTCCATGGTATTATTTATTCCATCCATTAAAACCTATAAGTCTGTCATAGATTGCTTCATAGGAGGGATTTTGCCAAATTTGCCACGCTTGGCAGGTTTATATTAGTCTGAGTAGTTATGAGTTATTATTTTAAAAAATTTTATTTATAAGAATTTATTTTAAATTTGTATTTATTATTGTTTTACTTTTAAGAAATATTTTATTAAAATAAAAAATATATAATACAAAAACTTTACGAAAAACTGACACACAAAGGGGAAGTTTTCGTATGTCGATTTCATCACATATAAAAACATCATTACAGACTGGATTCATAAAACTTGTGGATATATGAATAGAAAGCATTTTGAGAATTATTTCCATATATAATACTAGTACAAAAGTATAATAAATACATTATTATTTACATTTGAAATGCAAAATTCACAGTACTACTGGCTACTACACAAAACTTGACACAACTGGATTAAACGCTTGTTTCTTTTTTTTTTTTAATGGTATTTGATACCTGGCATAGACCCTTTACTAACCGATAGATGCATTTTTAATATAGATCCAACTAGTGCAAAATTTATGAAGCTTTTGTAACTTTCAATTGATAAAAATTCGTTTAAAGTGTAGAAGTCAGCGAGGCCGCTCTAATCGCCCTAACATTCAACCAGAAAAAGTTTTAGGCGACTATGGTCGCCTGGGCGTTTGAGTGGTTATAAACACAAATATATACCGGCTATCACAAATCATGTGTCATACTCTACTACACATTATTTTAATACAGTAGAACAGTATATTTCTGTCTTTGTTCAAGGGGTCCCTAGTAACACCTGTTCACAAGAGTGGAAATGAGAGTGGAGTGGATATCAACACCTACAGACCAATTTCGCTAAAAAGCTATAGATATTTAAAAGCTATAGAAAAACTCTTGACTTGAGTCTCAATTCTAATTACATTTCTAAACTCTACATTCTTATTTAAATTTATTGGGGACTTTCACTTTTGTCTGCATCTGCCGGATGGTATGGAGTAGTATGGGATCTCCTACGCCACTACTACACTACCCTTTTGTCTCCTATTTAAAAAAGAGTTTGGTTTCAGTTAATACCAAAACCACATGAGGCTAGAGATGAGATTCAATTCACATCAATCAATCATATAGATATCTGGCCAGTAGAATGTGATATAGAAAAAAATTGTAATAACATTTTTAGCCTTGAATATGTTAAAGTTGAGGAGGAGAAAATCGAAAACGAGAATTTGAAATTTGAAGTAAACTGGAGTCATGAAACAGGTAAGATTTTGTGATATTATTAAATTAAGGTACAATTTACATAATGGCAAGTGGTTACTGTAGCCCATGGACACAAAATAAAGAGGACTTCATGTGCAATGTGCTGATTTGCCTTTGCCTAAATTCAAAGTGCATGTAAAAAGCACTCACGGAGAAAGAAAATAACAAATTAAAGAATTGTTTAAAAGATAACCATACATGGACATCATAATGAGCTTTGTAAGACATTTTATTTTACTTATGTATAAATATATTTATAAATGTCTTGACCCTGTGTAAATGCAGCCAGTATGTATGTACACTAAGATGTATTAACTTCATAGGAGTTAATGATATACATACAACTGGTAAGCTACCACCTATCTTTGCCAATTTCTTAGCCCAGATGAACTCCTCCATCCTCCTGTTACCTATTTAGTCTGAAGAGTATAGAGTCAGTACAATCACAGTGTGTGGGGCATTACATCTTAGTCGTCAGAGGTGACAGCGCATTGTAGCTTTTTATGTTTGAAGTTAGCTGCAGGCAGTGCGTGGACTGCAGTACCCACTTACCATCAGGTGGATCGACTACATACCATAAGGTGGACTGTTAGTTTGTTTGTCACTTCGTACTAAAAATATATGGAGAAAGGGTGCTCAAGGAATGCTTATACTGGCAAACACTCAGCTAATAAAAACAAGTTGTGGCAGAACACTCACTAAATGAGGTGAAGAAATCATCATCATCATCATTACAGCCCTTCATAAATGCACTGCTGAGCATTGGCCTCCCCCAAGGAACACCACAAAGCACGGTCCTGAGCCACCTGCATCCATCGAGTTCCTGCATGTCTTACCAGGCCGTCACTTCATCTAGTGGCGGACCGCCTTACACTTCGTCTACCGGCTACGAGGCTGCCATAATTACATCATGTTAGTAGAACCTTTCTTCTCCATCGGTCATCAGTTGTTCGGCCCATTGCCACTTCAGCTTATTACACATAGCTTATTAAGCATGCAGTATGGTAATTAAAGAGGGTGGCTTGGACCCGTAAGCTGTGTGATGGACTGTAATGATCTAGTCGCTTGGAAAAAATATTAGATTTTATTTTATATATTGAGTCAGAACCTGTTTCATTCTAGATACTGGTGAAAAACAAGAAGTCTTGGAGATTGATGCTTTTGAAGATCGACATGAGGATTCAGAGAACGACTTGCCACTAATTTCATTAGGTGCAAAGAGTAAACCAGATGACGTTGACATAGGTAAAAGAATTTCTTGCATCATGTAGTTGGAGATGTACTGTACATAAAAAATTTTGTTCTTTTATTACACATGAACAAACCAAATGATTGTTTGTGACCCAAATGGACCAAAATGATTATTTGTAGACCATACAATTATGTTGTTTTAAGTAAGAATTGAATTCGCCGGTGGTGACCCAAGGTGTTATAAGATAAAACAGAAAACCTGGAAGGGGATTCACTGATTTATTGATAGGGCTACTAACGTCTGAGAAAGCTGTTGTAAGTACATCTGCTAATCATGAGATCCTTGGTTAGGCAAAAAAACAAAATCACACAATAAAATAACATTAAAAAAAGAATTAATATTTGTAGCAACAGGAATTAAAAGACTGTGAGACGATGTAAATTTTCATTAATCTAATTTAAATAATAGCAAAGATTTTTTAAAATATTTCTGTTAACTATTATGACAACCCGAATCCGACTTAAAGTCGATTTCTGGAGCAACCTGTATATATACACATAGAAAATTAACAATTTTATGGATACTGGTGGAGAACGGACCTGGGTTGCTAGCATACTGTGAAATTTTGATGTACCAGGGCTTGTTTTGAGTCTTTGTATAGCCTACAAATAACTCCTTTATCTTAATCATCCCGTAAACTTCCACTGCTGCACATGGAAGGATCTCTCCCGATGTAGAGAGGATTTGCCTCAGTCGTCACGCTTGGCATAGGATTGACGATCGCAGAACCAGACGTGAGCACCTCTGGCAATGTTGCTGTCGCCGGTCTGGATATTTTACATCTGAACTAAACGAGGTGGTTATACCGCCATCTGTCGGAAAACCAACCCCAAAGTCGCCTCTTACGAAAGCCACGGGATAAAATGTGATTATGCATTCTCTTATGCCAACTTCGACTGTACTGTGTGTGTAAAACTAGTTCTGCGTGGAATTCGATACAGCGATTGTTAGAATAGATTATTAGACTAGAATAGATTATTCTCATACTACTATCTAGAGTCCTAGACTATATTCTTAATATCTAAAAAAATACTGGTCAGAATGTATGTATGTATGTGTAACACTCTTTCTGTGTGGGATTTGAACCAGAGATCATTAGATTAATATAATTATAACACAGAACAATGTCAATATTATTATTCAAATTTAGATTCTATGAGTATTCCATTCTTTCCCACCAAAAATGAATGTGTTATTTAGATAAATTGGCTAAAATACATTATATCTAGCAACATTATTTAGTATAATTATGTAAAATATTATAATTTCTCTATATCTCCCTGGGTTGACTGATAGAGAGAATGCCATAAGACATAAACTCCGCCTAACGTAAACCGTCTAAGGTATATTACAATAAAGATACAATTTCTTACAATAAATAAAATCTTTGATTCATTTTTGTTTCAGAACAACCCTGCATACAAACAAATATGTTTTCGAAACCGTGTGAGATTAAATCAAATTCTACTGATTGTAACATAAATGACGTTCGTAAAGGAAACCTCGATTTAAAAAGCCCTGTTATTAAAACAAGGCCTAAAATCAAAAGAGATACTAAATAAGTTATTAAAAAAGGGAAGCAACCTGCAAAAATCATGAAAAAAGAAATTTGTTAAACAGAGTGTAAATATATTTACTGAAAACACATCTGAGGCATCAACAAAATACATTTTTGAATGTGATGATTGTAGAAAAAAGTTTATAACAAAAGATATTCTCGCCGACCACATATCATACAGTCATAAGACGCAAAAGAACTCAGATGCAGTTCAGACACAAGTTGAACAAACTCCAGTACCACAACTGATGGATATATATAACTGTGATATTTGCGAATTTAAAACATCTCATAAACGTTGCATTTTAGCACATCTTAAAGCGCACGTCGCTAAGCAAGTGTACTGTTGTAATAATTGTGATTATAAATGTACAAATAAAGGAAATTTCCAAAGGCATATGAAAATACATACCGGAGAAAAACCTTTTTCGTGTAATATCTGTGAATATAGATGTATTACAAAGAGTCATTTGCAAACACATATGAAAATACACACCGGTGAAAAACCTTTTTCGTGTAATATCTGTGAATATAGATGTATTAGAAAAAGTCATTTGCAAACGCATATGAAAATACACACCGGTGAAAAACCTTTTTCGTGTAATATTTGTGAATATAGATGTATTAGAAAAAGTTATTTGCAAACGCATATGAAAATACACACCGGTGAAAAACCTTTTTCGTGTAATACCTGTGAATATAGATGTATTAGAAAAAGTCATTTACAAACGCATATGAAAATACACACCGGTTAAAAACCTTTTTTGTGTCATATCTGTGAATATAGATATACTAGAAAAAGTCATTTGCTAAGACATTTGAATAAACACACTGGGGCAAAATCTTCTTCATAAGGTATCTGGTTAAATATGTACAGTAGCGTGACATATGTAGCAATACGTGAAAACCCGCTTTGCTGGGTTAGTTTTTGTCGAATATTTATTCGTGAATGTATATTTTATTAAATCAGTTATTTTTTTAAATTAAGAACACATGACTTTTCTTGTTAAAATTTAAGTTTTTTCTTACATATGTTTTTATTCATTACAAAAAAATAATTTACAGATAGTCATGTACTGAATGCCTATATTACAATACATTCTTATGCACTACATTTACCATCTTGTGTTCTGGTGCAGACATGAATTTTTTTTTTCTGTCGAACGCGCGAAAAAGCTACGTAGAGTTGAACATGTGTTAAATGGCATTCTCCCAAATTCACTCCACCATATTGGAACGTTTGACCTTGTGCCTTATTGATAGTTATACTGTAAGCCAATCGTAGAGGAAACTGTAACCGTTTAAAACAGAATGGTAAATCATTTGAAATTAATTGAATTCGTGGCATAATAACGGATTTTCCTTTTTCTTTGCCAGTTAGAATTACTGCCTCAATATTGTTGTTGAGAAGTTGTTTTATACATAATCTTGTACCGTTACATAATTTCGGTGAATTTAAAAATTTTGTTGGGAAGTTCACACTTTCGTCTTGATTAATCATTGTGTCTATTGATTTTTACAGTTTTTCATCTGGTGTCATATTCTGTATCCTTTCATTAGTCACAAATACTCGTAGTCGCGCTGGGTTTCTTGCTGGTTCTTCCCAGGACAGAGGGTTTTTTGAACCAGTGGTAAATGAAAAAAGTGGCTTTCTATAATTATTGTTTATAATCTATATTGAATAAAAAAGTTTCTGTTTCTGTTGCTATTGATTTGATGCACTTCATCATGTTTTGTAGCTAAAATTGCTCGCTCACACAACCATGTCCTATTTAGATAATTCTGTTCATTAGACGGATAAACTTTTTCAAAAAGTTCTTCTTCTGTATCTACTACGTTACACAATTCTTTTGATAGAATAAGGTTGCCTTACTGTGAATCTATGTAGGATATATTATATAATGTTGCGCGACTAAGTTGACATCTGGCACTAGTGCCATCTAGTGTCGGGTAACAGAGCGCTTTCCAGAAAATAACATGACTAATCTTTCAACCGACAGTGCCATCTAGTATCTAGTAACTAACTAAACTTTCTAGAAACTCTCGAACTTTCGGCGCCTGGTCGGTTGGCGCGCGTATTTACTTGAATATTCTGGATGTTTCGGTGATAATGTGTATTTAAAGGCGCTGCAATACGCGATCGGGGAAGTATTGAATTTGGCGAGGCAAGTGAAGCTTCGGAGCGGAATAAAGTGAATCAGTGTGATTAATTATTAATGTTTTAAGTTTTAATTAGTGTAAAGTGAATTAAAAAGTTAATTTTGGTAATTCGATCGGCAGTTTTTAAGTAAGTCTGTTAATGCTAATTTTTCAATACGATCCCAGAACGTTAATCGCTTCGAACATGCGATTTTTTTATAACCTTGTCTAACTAACCTAACCTTGTGTGTCGAAAATCTCCGGATAATAATAGTAAATACTTTGTACTGGTATTATCAGTTAAAATAGTATACTGTTTAATAATTAATAGTATAAAACAAAATTGCAGGTACATTCAGCAATTATGGGTACTTTAAGATCAATAGAAAATTCTTTCAGTTATTCCAACAAAATATAGAGCTTGTCTGTGTACAAATGTTTTATGAATAGCTTCTATCTTTTACATGTATTGATTGTTGGTGAGTATTCATCCCAAATACCATTAAAGTAACATGACTGAAGCCAAGATGAGTAAGGGGTAATATGTTCACTTATAATATTACCTACACACGCTGTATATATAGTAGGAAAGATGTTTTAAACTGGTTGTGCTAATGATAAAAACACAAAGTATAATGCCATTGCCTAATAAATGCAGTTGTGTGGAATTGTACTTGGTGTTTTGTAAATCATCATTTCCGAAGTAGAATATTGATAGTAGAACACACGGACAGATATGCACCGTGTTAAAACTTTGTTTTAATATGTTTCGGTTGATTAGTAAGTACTTTTATATCTTTAACAACATTAAACCCAAAATGACTGGGTAATAGCATACCCATTTATGCCAAGTAAAATGTTTTGAACTGGTTGTTTAGTTAGAAAAAAGTTAATATCACTGTAAAAAAAGTAGCATAAACAGTTGTGTGGGAACTTTGTTTGTATCGATTGATTGATTAGCATATCCTGTACATTATTTAAGTCTAGTAATATAAACAATAATATATATTAAGCCAGACATTTGAAACTGATTACGTAAAAATGTAAAAATTCACTGTACTTATTATAATTGATCATCATCATAAAGCAGTATATACAGGCAAATGCAGTGTATAAACTTTGGTTTAAAATGGGTTAACTGATTAATTAATTAAGCTGAAAACACTAGGTAATATTATGTTTGGGTAAGGTCGTAAAAAAGTGTAAATAACGCACTAGAAGATATAACACACGGTAACACATTAACGTACTGGAATAATATAAAGGTCATTGTTCACTCGGAAATAGGTTCAAGTAAAATCCATTTCAAAATATTATCAATTACTTATTTTCATGAAATTAAGATTAAATAATCAAAAACGAATCTTAGACTATGCATAGCTTGCGTGTTTGAGAAACTAAGCACTAAAATAAAACAACACAGTAGAATTAAAGCCTTTAACAAAATAATGTGTTAACAAAAAACAGTATGTACTAATCAAAGGTGGTCATTCATAAAAGAAATGAATTTAGCAATTATGTGTTTACAATTTACAATTAGTACAGATACTGTAATTATTACCATTTATCACAGAATTTTGTTTTACTGTTTTTTTTTTTTAATTATAAGGGCTATCTCATTTGACACTATTCGCGTTCGCACAGAGCCATATTTAAGAAGAAATTGAAATTTAAAAATGCGTTTTTAATCAATCGTTAATGTAATCAATAGGCGAACTATAATATAGTATTAATTTAATAAGAAATGATTTAAAAAACTTTTTGTTTTTGTCTAATAAACTCAGAATACAAATATTAAAATGTTTTTTGCTAAAAATTAAAAAAAAAAGCTTCTTACCATTTAAACATTTTTTTATAATATGGTCCTGTGCGAGTGGAAAAGTTGACGAAAGGCGAAATTAAAAGGTCGTCACCTTTTAATTAAAAACGGACCTGGTTCGGCTACTGAGGGACCACTAGTAATAAATCAGAATAGTATAACACTCCACTCTTATGTAGGTACGTCAGAATAACATTACACCTTTTTCATTTCACCGTAGTCGGTTAAGTTATGTGAACAGCCTCCTTTATAACATTCCAGTGTGTGACATAACAAACACCATAACACACGTAACGAACTGGAACAAACACTTGAAAATTCAAAACTCAACAATGAATACCGGTCATAAATCATGCGCGATTTACTAAATAAAACTTGACATACACTAGTAATAATAATAATAATAAGGGGTATCTTCCAGGGCGATTGTCTGAGTCCAATATGGTTCTGCCTCTCTCTGAACCCTTTCAGTACCTTACTGGGGGGCTCCGGGAGGGGATTTCAGCTACGGAAAGGAGGGACAAAAGTGACCCACCTTTTCTATATGGATGACCTCAAGTTATTCGCCTGCAGTCGCTCCCATCTTATGGAATTGCTAAACATCACTTGTGAATTTAGCAATTCCATTGGAATGGAGCTGGGGACGGATAAGTGTGCGGTCCTCCATGTTGAGAGGGGTAGGGTTGCTAACTCTGAGGGCATAGACTTATCTATGCCCGTCAACTTAAGGGCCCTTTCCGAGGCTGAAACATACCGATACCTGGGTATGTCACAGAACATCGGTATCGATGAGGCTGGTATGAAACAGTCAGTTTGCGACGTGTTTTATGCACGCTTGACCAAAGTGCTTAACAGCCTTTTGTCCAGTGTGAATAAGACACAAGCATATAACGGCTGGGTCATGCCTGTCCTCATGTATACCAAAGGTATAATATATTTCTTCAGGGGTGTGAGTCACTCAGACTGAACTTAACGCCCTGGATAGAAAAGTCCGCACTACCATGACGTCCCACAGGATGCATCATCCGAGATCGTCGGTAATGAGG